AGTCTCTGGTCATCTCCTGTACTATGTCCGCAGTCTCTGGTCATCTCCTGTACTATGTCCGCAGTCTCTGGTCATCCCCTGTACTGTGTCCGCAGTCTCTGGTCATCTCCTGTACTATGTCCGCAGTCTCTGGTCATCTCTTGTACTATGTCCGCAGTCTCTGGTCATCCCCTGTACTGTGTCCGCAGTCTCTGGTCATCTCCTGTACTATGTCCGCAGTCTCTGGTCATCTCTTGTACTATGTTTGCAGTCTCTGGTCATCTCCTGTACTGTGTCCGCAGTCTCTGGTCATTTCCTGTACTGTGTCCGCAGTCTCTGGTCATCTCCTGTACTACAGTTGTGGCCAAAATTATTCAACCCCCACTGAAATTGAGTGTTTTGGCCAGTTTGACATTGCTTTTGATCATTCAGTCATCTTGCTTACATTTACATTAAAGAGGCACTTGTAGGTCAGACAAATATAAAACATACAGTTATAATGAAATAACCACAAATGTCTTTTCTGTGCTCACAGCATTATCAGTTTTATTCAACCCCCAAGTGACATTCAATCTTAGTACTTAGTACAGCATCCTTTTACAGTTATAACAGCTTTTAAACGTGAAGCATAGCTTGACACAAGTGTCTTGCAGCGATCTACGGGTATCTTCGCCCATTCTTCATGGGCAAAGGCCTCCAGTTCAGTCACATTCTTAGGCTTGCGCACTGCAACTGCTTTCTTTAAGTCCCACCAGAGGTTCTCAATCGGATTTAAGTCTGGTGACTGCGATGGCCACTCCAAAATGTTCCAGCCTTTCCTCTGCAACCATGCTCTAGTGGACTTGGAGGTATGCTTGGGATCATTGTCCTGTTGAAAGGTCCAACGTCTCCCAAGCCTCAGGTGTGTGACGGACTGCATCACGTTTCCATCCAATATCTCCTGGTACTGAAGAGAATTCATGGTACCTTGCACACGCTGAAGCTTCCCTGTACCTGCAGAAGCAAAACAGCCCCAAAGCATGATTGACCCTCCACCATGCTTCACAGTAGGCAAGGTGTTCTTTTCATCATAGGCCTTGTTCTTCCTCCTCCAAACATAGCGTTGATCCATGGGCCCAAACAGTTCTAATTTTGTTTCATCAGTCCACAGAACACTATCCCACAACTTTTGTGGTTTGTCCACATGGCTTTTGGCATACTGCAGTCGACTCTTCTTATTCTTTGGAGACAGCAAGGGGGTACGCCTGGGAGTTCTGGCACGGAGGCCTTCATTACGCAGTGTGCGTCTTATTGTCTGGGCTGAAACTTCTGTACCCACATCTGACAAATCTTTTCTCAGTTCCTCAGCAGTCACACGGGGACTTCTCTCCACTCTACGCTTCAGGTAGCGCACAGCAGTCGAAGTCAGCATCTTCTTTCTGCCACGACCAGGTAGCGTTTCAACAGTGCCCTTTGCCTTGAATTTGCGAATGATGCTTCCTAAGGTGTCTCTTGGTATGTTTAACATCTTTGCAATCTTCTTATAGCCATTGCCCTTCCTGTGAAGAGAAATCACCTCTTCTCTTGTCTTCCTGGACCATTCTCTTGCCTTCACCATGTTTGTAACCACACCAGTAAATGTCTAGAAGGAGCTGAGTATCACAGTCATTTTAAAGCTGCCTAATTGGTGCTTATTATGCTTGATTGCTGCTCGGTGACATCCACAGGTGTTTTCAATACCTGATGGAAAGCACCTGTATGAACCTCTGTTCTTCAGAGTGGTAGTCTTTAAGGGGTTGAATAATTGTGGCAATGAAGAAACCACATAAGAACCATTTACTACTGTATTACATAAACAATTGATGTCATTTTAGTTGCATTTGGGTAGTTACAACGTCCTTGTAGGATTTGATTCTGAATACAATTCCAAATGTACACTATAGTCCCTAAACCCCTTTACAGCATTGGGGGTTGAATAATTTTGGCCACAACTGTATGTCTGCAGTCTCTGGTCATCTCCTGTACTATGTCTGCAGTCCATTGGTTCAGAATATTTTTTTTCTTGTTTTCTGCCTCTAAAACCTAGGTGCGTCTTATGGTCAGGTGCGTCTTTTGGAGCGGAAAATACAGTATATATAATGAGCGTGCCAAAAATATGTTCAAGAGTCCAAGGTTTTTAATGATAAAATTGATGCATAGCAGAAAGAGTATTTGCCTACATTCACCAACACTGGATTAACCTGCCCTCCTGAAACAGGAGGGCAGTAAATCGCAGTGTTCTATATATTCTTGGTAATTGCTTACTGGACTTCATTTAAGCACATCAATCAAAATCCCTAAGCCCTGATGAAGGGGGAGCAGGGACTGGCTGAGATTCGATCCATCTAAGGACAAGCTGGTTGTACTGAGACTGATCCATCAATCAACATCAGTTCAACCAGCCTATCAGATTTTTTTCATGCGATCACTGCTGGTGGCTTAGCCAGCAGAATGCAATAGCTCTGCGGGAGGGATTTCCCCCCATGAACACTGATTGCGTTGATGGGGGGAATCAAGCAATTTTGCTTCCTGCAACCAAGAAAATTATCTACTGTGTGGCCTGCCTTAGTATGATGGCCAGAGAACTGACATTCTCAAAAGAAGAGTATGACAATGACAGTCTCCATAATTTTCACATGACAGCATCCCTTTAAACAGGCAGTCCACCAAATAATCGTGAAAAAGTAAAGGCTGATGGAATAAGTCTCCCAAAGACTTACTAGATCTCTTGGTGACTCTGATGGTGGTATGTCATATGTACCTTCTGGTTCCTGGGTTTCATACACCCATTTACATCTTCAAACTAAACTTTGACAGTATACAGGATGACCCCAGTGCTGAATAATAGGCACTATCAGGTACTAATACAGACATCATTGGTAGCTAAAAGACCTCCCTATAATCATTGAAGTTTCAGCCAGGTATTCTTAAGATGTCCACATTGGCTGCCTCCATATTTTTTCCCCACTTTAGAAATCCTTTAATAGCGCATATTATTTTATTTGGGTGTCCGCTTATTCTGAAGATTCTGTACATAAGAGGATGTTGTATTTGGATTGGATGTACCAAACTTGATATGCTTGGCCTCCATTTTCTTGGGAACCAAAGATGAACCGTTATTTACTCAGGTCAGGCAGATCATTGTTTTTGCATGGATTTAAGTGCTTGTTACTCTATTCATTCCATAGAGGACGATGGCATTTTAGTGTCTGGACCCATCTGTGTACATGGCAAGACTCATGCATCCTGGAAAAAAGCTGGGGATGTGCTGCTGGTGACAAGTGTCTAACAGATAATTATGCTTCTGTCCCAATTAGAAAATACCCCACAGATGGCTACATTGAGTTCTTGGCTTTTTGCATAATAGCATCATAGGACGTGCTTGCACCCGTTGTGTAAACACTGTGGATATGGTTGTGGCGTGCTGTGTGTTAGTCTGTATGAAATGAAATTCTTTTGTCTTTGTATGGGTGATGAATGCCAAGCTGTCACTAGGACCCGTGTGTTCGTTTGAATTAAAGCGGTCGTCACTTTCACTTAAAACTTCCTGTAAAGATTTTTCTGCACTTCTTCGCTATGGTCTGGTTGGGGAATCTGGGGAGCACCAAGCGGCTTGTATATTAAAAATCACACATACTTAGCAGGATATAACTTTCATTTATTATATAAATGCTTATTTTAGGAGCTGTCAAATCTTAGCAGCCAGGTAGCCAAGGCGCCTAAAGGAAATTCCTCTGGCACCACACTTTGAGTTATTTTGACTGATGCCTTTTGAAGCACAGTGCTTTCTGGCAGACTGCGTAGTGGTTCCAGAGCAGTGACATCACCATCATTGAAGATAAATAGCTGTATCTTCAAAGGCCTGAAATGAGTGTCTCAACAGGTGTAAAATGGCAGCTTCGGGCTGTGGTTTCTTACATGGGTAATGACAGATTTGCTTTATGGGTATACAGTCTAGTCAAAATTAAAAATAAGGAGTAGAAATGCATACAGGGAACACAATCCACAATGCAATAGGAAGAAGGGTCAGCCGCACACCGGAGGATAGATGAATATAGTGTGTATTTGTTGATCCATAGGACACACAATGATACAATGGTTTTATATGTCTTGTTACCAGGGGCGGACTGACAACTCACTGGGCCCCTAGGCAATAGGGGATCATGGGGCCCCTGTGTCCTTGCCTAAACGCAAAAAAGCCTATGAAAAAGGTACCAGGGGCATCTTATGGGGCCCCCTACTGACCCCCGGGCCCCATGAGATGCCCCTGGTACCTGCTTGTTGCAATGTATTAGTAGGCGCCCCTGCTTGTTACAATGTATTAGTAGGGGTACACTCAGGATTCAAGAGTGCTGATTAGGACAGGTGTCCTTTATCAACTAAGACAGCACTTTTGTTGTTTTCTTTGTGATGATTAACCACTTCCTGTCCGGACACTTTTACCCCCTTCCTGTCTAGGGCAATTTTCAGCTTTCAGCGGTATCACACTTTGAATGACAATTGCGCGGTCATACAACACTGTACCCATATGAATTTTTTACCATTATTTTGAGACAGATAAAGCTTTTTTTTGGTGGTATTTTTTCACCGCTGGGATTTTTATTTTTTCTACTAATGTAAATGAAAAAGTTCAAAAATTTTGAAAAGTGTTTTTTAAATAAAATTTTGCAAACAAATAATATTTCATCATAAATCTTGGCCAAAATTTATTCCGTTATTTTTTTAGTAAAAAAAAAAATCCAAATTAGTTTATAACCAAAAATTATAATTTTTAAACATTTTTTTTACATTTTTATTTAATTTTTTAATATTATTTTTTATTTATTTATTTTTTTTTACATACTGTCACCCTAGCAGTACAGTGTCACCATGGTGACACTGTACTACTTGTGGGGGGTGATGAAGATTTTTTTTTTTTTTTACACATTGCTTTTACACCCATATAGGATGTAAAAGCAATCATTTCTCTTTCTCTCTGTCTACATTCTTGCAGTCATTGAGAAGTACTGAGTGAGCTGTGATTGGTCACAGCTTGTCACATGGTACAAGGCTGTTGTGAATAGCCTTGTACCATGTGACCTCTGTGATCATTCACAGATTTCACACGTAGTAAGCAATGATGTCACAAGTGACATCTTGCTTACTACTTTGCATGTGATCACTGATTGGCCAATCAGTGATCACATGATCGGGACCTCGTACAGAGAGGACACAGCGGGCACCGGATCGTGGTGCTGTGCGCTCCCAGGGAGCGCACACAGCTAGAAAAGGCAGGTGCCATTTATGAACGGCAACCCGCCCCTGGACTGCAACTGCCCTGCCGTTTATAAACAGCAGGCGGACGGTAAGTGGTTAAGCACGAGTTCGTGTGAAACGCGTTAACAAGTCCTGTATTCATGTCCTGCTGTTTTGTGTGTCCTATGGATCAATAAATACACACTATATACATCTATCCTCCGGTGTGCGGCTGACCCTTCTTCCTATTGCATCGTGTGTTGTGGCAAGCCAGAGCCCGCACCTGTCGTGGATTGATCTGGATTGTTTGCCTGAGCGATATACCTTTTTGTTCTTTGGATTCAACACGTCCACAAGCTTGCAGCTTCAATTTTTCATCCTGACATATCCATAATGCACCAGACCACAGCTCACTTCCTTTTTATTATCAGTGCTTTGGGAACCCCATTTGCTTACCTGGTCTTATTGCAGGAGAGGTGTACCCAAATACACCCCCACTGTAGGCTCTTGCGGTCTCTCACACTTGAAGTGTACTAAGATGTTTTTCAATCAGATTCTGTCCTGTTCTGGAGGAGGTAACTTCTGCATGACGGAATTCTAGCCTCCCTCCTCACAGCCCAGTGCTTTGACCACCCCAGAAATGGCAACTAACAACAAACTCATCACCAATCCCTTCCCTGAACTCCAGAAATGCACTTGGGTCATTGCTGAAGCATGGGCAAGCCAGAAGGATTGAACCCAACGCCCCATGCACACTCTAAATTTCACTGTAGACTTCCACCTTGGGAGAAAGACACGAGATGTTCCATGGAGAAATATAATTCCTCTCCACACTACATTTATCTACACTTACACCTGACGCCTCTCTGCTAATCATTCCCAATGAGCTCACAATTGTCTCCTGCAAACTTTCCTCTGATATCCTTAACCCCTTGATGCCGTCGTAACACAAATATGCGGCCTCACGGAACTTGGCTTTTTTCCGTGGGGCCGCATATTTGTGTACCTGTCTTTGTGCTGGGAGCGTGCCGCTCGTGTGCTCCCAGCACAAAGACTGGAGTGTCACTGAGAGCCCCGGGTCCTGTTCTAACGTTCGGGACTCCCGATTCAGGGGTCACATGATCGCTGTGATAGCCTCTGATTGGCTATCACAGTGATGAGTCACTGTACAGCCCGGCCCCCTTGTTTTTTTCTCTCTCTATGAATGGAGGAGAGAGATACATTGTATCTCTCTAACTTCTGGCATAGAGGGAAAAAAAAGATAAATAGATATTAAAAAATAAAATAAAGAAAAAATACCTAGATCAAGGTTTGATCTAGTTCAGTGCCAGGGTTAGTGTTTGGGTCAAGGTCAGGGTCAAAAGGTCAGGGTCAAAGGTCAGGATTTTAAAAAAATTGGTGTCAGTGTCAATGTGTTTTAGGTGAAAAAAAAAAAAAAAGACAAAAACAAAATGCGCACTATTGTTTCTGGGCTGTACCAGTGGTACAAATAACATACACATATATGGTATCGCTGCGATTGTCAAGAGCTGGAGAATTTATTTTTGGTTGTTCTTTGGTGGTAGGTTATGGTAGTAACAAGAAGCACACAGCTATATAAAAAAAAAATTAAAAATCAGGAGATATCCATTACCATTTACCACCAAATGAAAGCCCAATTTGTTCTGAAAAAAACCGCGGTATAATCCACCTGGATGTACAAAGTAGTTGTGATGATATGTACGGTTTTACTAACACATGTCAACGTTGCAGAATTGTGCTTGGGCATTTAGATTTGTTTTACCCTTAGGCGTGAAGGGGTTAAAGGGATCTAAGAACTTGGCCAGCGTTCATTTCTCTTGGTGAACCAAATAGATAGCACCATTATGATTTTCGAAGGCTATGTGAGCGATCTTAAAATGTTACTAAACCCACAACAGTAAAGCATGCTTGTTATACTCGCTGTGGAACCTAAGGGGTTAATCCTCTGCATTGTGTAAAAAGGCTGTTTGATCCTGACTTCTCTGATCCTCCCCTTCTTCGTGTCCCCCTCATCAGAGGTCTAATGGAGTCCAAGTTTTGATAGGAAGTGAATCGAGGGAAACTGTACTGACTTTAGTCATCCAATCATGTGAGCAAAAATCCTGTTTTATTTCAGCTTTGCTTGCATATGTAAGGGTATTCTTTGTAAAGTGAATTTTCACGTAGCTTCACCTCCTTCACTAAGCCAAGTAAAAATTAACTTTACAAAGTTGATACGCTCTGTTTCTTTAGTAAACCAATTTCTGTTGTGCTGAAGTCCACTCAGTTTATATGCAAATTTTATTGTTTCCAACAATTTATTCACTAAATCAAAATGGGTTCACTGATGGGTTTGTTGTCCCCTGCTAATCATTCTGTAGGTTGAGCTTCCTTCTGCAGAATAGTAGTTTCCAGTATATTGCACAGGGAAAACCGAGTGGTGTGAATATTTTTTTGTAAATGAACAAAGTATGCATAATTAGAATGGGGTGATCCCAGGGTGTGAATAATTGTAAAGCCTACAGACAGAGCCATATGGGCGGAGTTGGGAATCCCCAGGTGCAGTCTCAAGATTAGTTATTTCCAGAACAGTAGGGAACAGGAAATAAAGGGATTTGGACAAGCAGCATGGGCTGTTATACTTCTTTTGGGATGAAAAGTAAAACCTCTGCATGAGTAGGTTGTTTCCTATATGCATTTTCATGCTCAGTTTGACAATTTGGCTGGAGTATTTCTTTTAATGCACCCACATCTGCAAGGAAATTGAAATCACAACTTGAGGTTCACCATTGGCACGTTTATGTGAGATTACAGGACAGAATGTAATTTCTGCGTTGAGAAATATCCTCTACCAACGCAATGTTATAGGAAAAATCTAGTCCATTTTCTGTAAGGCCTCTTTCACAAGGGCAGCATCCATACCAATCTGCAGAGGATCAGTGAACAGCTTTATGACATCCATGTCCTATCAGTTTTTTTTCTTCATCTTGTGGGTTGCTTTATAATATAGGAACACAAAATGAGGAGCTAGAACATGCGAAGGTGGATGAGAACACCCAGGGGTTGATTGTAGCTTGGGAGATGGGAATTATGGCAGGGTAATCGCTGAGTTGGGGGTATCAAAAAACCTATCTATTTATATAAATATTTTACATAAAGTAAAAAAAAAATAAAATGCTATGTTACCTTTTGGAACTCATTCATAAGGAGATCTAAGATGCATTTAGTTTGGACGCCCCTGATTTAGATGCATACAAAACTATACATTGTATTCCAAAGACATGCTGGTAGGTTAATTGGATCCTGTCTGAATTGGCCCTAATATGTGTATGTATGAATGTAAGTTAGGGACCTTAGATTGTACACCCCTTGAGGGTTAGGGACTGATGTGAATGTACAATATATATGTAAAGCGCTGCGTAAATTGACAGTTCTATACAAGTACCTGTAATAGTAGTAGTAGTAATAATAACACTACAAGAATCAGTATACCTGCATCTACAAATGAAAATATGCACTGCGTTTGACCGCCATGCCAACTGTGACAAGCCCACCATGACTTCTTGCGGCTTCACAGCTGGTTCCCCACTTTTAATGGTCCCTGCAGTCTCCTGGGACCTGTGATGTGCCCCCAGAGGCTCCGGGCTGGGATTGGGGGGCGAATTTCTGCTCAGATCTCCTAGATCAGTGGTCGGCAAGCCGCGGCTCGCGAGCCACATGCGGCTCTTTACCCACTCTAATGCGGCTCTTCTGTGTGCCGGGCGCCTGCTCCCCTCCCTCCTCTCGGTCGGCCGCTCCCTGCCTCCTCTCGGTTGGCAGCCCCAAAAGTCCGCGCGGACCTTTTAATCCGGCCCGCGGATGTGGCTGTCAGGATGTGTGTAGGCGGGGCAGCGTGCCGAACGTGAGGGGAGGGGAGCTAGGCTCCTCTCACAGTCCGCCCTGAAGACCCGAACGGCGCGGGAAGACAGCGAGAGGAACGCAAAAGGTAAGTGAATTGACACGGGGGACTTGGCTTACTAGAGGGGGGGGGGGATAGTACTGTGGGGGGTGAAATACTATATGAGGGATGAATTACTTTATGAGGGATGAATTACTATATGGGGGGATGAAATACTATATGAGGGATGAAATACTATATGAGGGATGAATTACTATATGAGGGATGAAATACTATATGAGGGATGAATTACTTTATGAGGGATGAATTACTATATGGGGGATGAATTACTATATGAGGGATGAATTACTATATGAGGGATGAAATACTATATGAGGGATGAATTACTATATGGGGGATGAAATACTATATGAGGGATGAAATACTATATGAGGGATGAAATACTATATGAGGGATGAAATACTATATGAGGGATGAATTACTATATGAGGGATGAAATACTATATGAGGGATGAATTACTATATGGGGGATGAAATACTATATGGGGGATGAAATACTATATGAGGGATGAAATACTATATGAGGGATGAAATACTATACGGGGGATGAAATACTATACGAGGGATGAAATACTATACGGGGGATGAATTGCTATGGGGGATGAATTACTATATGGGGGATGAATTACTATATGGGGGATGAATTACTATATGGAGGATGAATTACTATATGGGGGATGAATTACTATGGGGGATGAATTACGATGGGGGATGAATTACTATATGGGGGATGAATTACTATGGGGGATGAATTACACTATGGGGGGTGAATTACTATATGGGGGATGAATGAATTACTATGGGGGATGAATTACTATATGGGAGATGTATTTTCAGTTTTAAAAATGTGGCTCTCAAAATAAATTTCAATCATGGTTTTGGCGAGATTTGGCTCAGTTGAAAAAAAAGGTTGCCCACCACTGTCCTAGATGGTCTGGACGGAAGTTAGAGTGGGTACCTGTCAAGACCAGGTACCTGCTCCCTCCCCCCAAAAAAAAGGTGTCCAAAAGTTGGAGGGGAGGAGGCAGAAAAGGGGAACTTCCCTTAAGGGGTGAGGTTCCGCTTCAAGGTTTGTATGTTATATAAGACCACCT